TAATATGCCAAAACCAAATTAACTCCTAATACACAAGGGGGTATACTTAAGCAGTAGGCAGTTGATAAAAATATAAACACTTATTCTTCTTGTTCCATGTGGACTTAAATTTCATTATTAAACTTACATCTGCATGTCCAAACAAAGCATACACAATTAGCACAATTTCAGAAATCCAATCATCTTCAAATAACTTATTTAACCAAGGGATGATACAAAGTCTTGACAAATAATTTAACCCAACAATTTGTTTTTTCTACCCAGCCTGGGGTAGAAAAATTATTTTTAAAAAAATCCAAATCAAATCTCCTCAGGAACAGTGATCATATTTAGCTACCCCTCTCCACCACCACCCGTTTCCTGATACTGGGGATTGAATCCAGGGCCTTGTGCATGCTAGGCAAGCATTCCGCCACTGAGCTACATTCCCAGCCCTGCATTGGTTATATTTTAAAGGCAACACTAACATTGTAAGATATTTTGTAATTCAATCTCTTCTATAAGCCAGCTACAGTAGATTTTTCATTTTCAATATAATGCTATTTCCTGTTGAGCCCTAAGGAAAAATTTGTCATTGAACACACAGGTATAGGTGGGTGTGTTTCAAAAGCAATCAATTGGTTGACACATTACAACTGAAATGGCTCTGCTTGTTTTAGCCCCGGTTTTCTAGCAGAATTTCTCATCAATACCTGTATGTTGCAGATATTCAGGATAAAAGTATTTGTTAGGTCAAACTTGGCAATTTATGGCTTCAACATAGAGCTTTTTAATGTCGCGGTACCTGGAGATGGTTTTCCATCAGGTGCACTGAAAGAACAGTTTCCCTCACTCAGTGCTCATGCAGTCATGATCCTTTCTCTGCAGGTGACACCTCTTTTATATAGATAGCAGGTTGAGTTCTAGGCTTAAAAAATCCAGAAAGGGGCAGTCTTAGCAAGCAAGATCCCTGCTTTACCCTGAAAGCCAGGGAAGAAAATTGAGATTCACATCACCATCAGGGAGCAACAATCTAAACATTTGTTGCCATGCCTGATCTTTGGAGATGTTAGCATTAGCTGTAGATGTTACTGGACTGTCAGGTGCGGGGGAGGGCTGCATTCCAGACAAGATCTGGAATAGAGGATCCACATCAGCTGCTTTTTCTCAGAGAAGCCCAGCTAGCCTTTGTTCCTTTATATTAATGGACTTTCTCTGATGATCTAGATGGTTCTCATTCCAGCTGATCTTTACAAAGCATGCAGAAGAGGGAGGAGCTCTCCTTTCAAATCATTTGTGCAGACAGGTTTCTGATCAGATTCAAGTCCACATCCAGGGCATGTGGTGTCTGTAGCTCAAAGAAATACTGACCCTAATGAACTTTTCTGAATTCCAAAGCTACTGCTGTCATATTGCATTTGCTGGCCATTTTCCAGGTTCCCCAAAACACATTAAGACACACACACACACACACACACACACACACTCCTCTACCCATTAGATTCCATTCCCATGTGGCATCCAAATACCTTTTCTGACTAAAGACATTGTGGGACACTAAGCTAGGACAGCACCTGAAGCATACAGTATTGACACTCAAAGAAGGTGCATTGAAAGAAAAACTGTGGAGCCCTGGAGTTAGGGGTGGAGGTAGGGATTACATCTCCAAACCTCTGCAGGTTCTCACAGCCCATGCCAGTGGCAGCCAGGCCTGAGGGGTGGCAGCAGGGAGAGACACATTTGAAACTGCTCAACAAGTGTACCTTGAGGGGAGAGATAAAAAGTGAGTTCCCCCACCTCTGACTAAGTACAAGCCAAGGTTGCACAACCACCTGACATGGAGACTGTAAAAAAGAATTAAATCTCAAGGTAGTTGAATTGGAACAACTGAAAAGAGAACAGAGGAAAAAGATGGGAAGGAAAAAGAAAAAATAAAATTTAAAAGGAAATATGAAGGAAAGCCAGAGTCTAGGGACCATTCTGTGCAGACATTTGGTCAGAAACTGGAGAGTTCCTGAGAGGGTTGGCATTGCATCCTGGTCCTTGGACTCCAACACTACCCATTCCTGTCCCATTAGCAGAGTCTTTGGGCCTGCCCTCTCCCAGGGAGCACAAGGTCTAGCTGAGTAGGGCTTGTTCATCTCTTAAGAAGCTTGGTCCTAGGCAGAGAAGAGGCTGGACTCTCAGCTCCTCTGTGCCTTCCCTAGTGGGCATCCAGGATCCTTGGAGGGCTCTGGAGGGCCCGAATCCTGAAGACTGGGAGAGACAGGAAGGAGCCCTTCTCCTCACTGGAGACCTATGGCCAGAGGATTTGGTTGGACTCAAACCCCTGAGCACCCTCTGGCCCAGCCAGGCCTGTACCTAGCAGCAATCTTATGGGTGGATCCCTCCACCAGCCCTAGGAATTGACTGGCAGGTGGAACAAAGCAGTCCTCTTTCTAAAAGAAAATATTCCAATGGTTGGGCTGCAGTGGCAGGATGTGGTCTAGGACCTGGGGCAGACCACGTGGCTGAGCCTGTGGCCCTTAGAAGGAATTTTTCCCTCTGAAACAGTTTTGCTGGTCTAGGAAGGGAACCTGGGCCCAGACCCTGAGTTATCACCTCAACGGGAAGACAGGCCTGAGGCCACGACAGGATGCTGGATGTCTGACCTGGGTCCATTTAGTGTCTCACTAGCCCAATTAGGAAGACAAGAAACTCACAAAGAGGGCATGGGTGAAGAGATCTGAAGCAGGAATAGAGAGGAAAAGGATGGAATCTACTTGTTCCCCTCATATCTGTTCTTTTCTTTTTTCACTTCCCTTCCTGGCCACTTCCTACCCCTTGAGGGGATTCAGCAGAAACATACAGGCAGCCCACCCCGCCTTTTAGGCTGGTGAGGAGCACAGCATCCACCCTTGATCTTCCACCTCTTCTACTTGCCATCTCAAGCCTGATTCCATACATGCTTCCCATCCATGCACCATTCACTCCCCACCTGCAACCACAATACACGCACACTTGGGGACAGTACTTAACTTTAACAAGCTGGTTAAGGTGCCAGCTTGTTCTGTGGAATCAGCCTGCCAGGTTTCCCCTTTGCTGGTTGACATCATTTGCCTGCTCTGATATTTGTGTTGTTTCTCTTGTTCAAGCCACAGCAGTCTTGTTCCCATAAGTACCCCCCCACCCCGCTTCTAGAACTCAGAGGCTGGTGTTTAGAAAGTAGGCAACACACACACACACACACACACACACACACACACACACGTGCGCGCACCATCACACCATAGTCTCAACCAAAAGATGTTATACACTCAAGTGCAAGTGCACATGTACACACTACTGGAGGAAATTCCTGTGTTCTAGCCTCTTCCCATTCCAAGTGGTTTCACCCCTCCACCCAAAGAGTTGGAGGCATCAAGAGCAGGGCCAGATGCAAACACATGGCAAAATCACAAACAGAAATCGCACAAAAGATCTCGATGAGAGGCTCCTAGGGGCTCCTTCCTTCCGCGATTTTCTCCATCATGCCGTGCCGCAGGCCTACTCGGTCACCCTCTTCTCAACCCCCCACAAAAAGTCACCAAGCCCAGTTCAAATCGATTGTTTTATTGACTGTTTACATACAGACGAGTTTAGAAAAGGATGCGGGCTTCCGGGGGCTACTCCGCCCGGGGCCACGCTTGTGCTGCGCTTCGCGGAGAGGGCTGGTCCCTAGGCCTGAAACCCCACCCCGACGCTTTCCTTTAAGAACGAAAACCTACCCCTGCCCGAGTCCCCGCGCCACGCCCACCCTCTCCCTCCCTCCCTCCCTTCCCACCCACCTGCCTGCCCGCCCGCCCCGCTACTCTACACCGTCACACTTTACAGAACACAGATTTCTCCTACAGACCACGCTGGACGAGGACTACACGCCTGGCAAACACTATTCTCGCGGAAGGAGGGGCGGGGCGGGGCGGGGCGAGGGGACCCGAAGACCGGGGAGTGCTATTCCCGGTCGGGATCCCGCTGCAGTCACGCGCAGGCTTTGTGCGCCAGCCCTCCGGAGAAACTCGGCCCCAGGGAGCCACAGTCGGCTTCCTACGCCCCTGGCGCTTTCCGGCTGGAGTCTGGGCCCCGTGGAGCCACGGAAGAAGCTGTAGTGCATACCGTTTTCCGGAAACCGCAACACTTGGACAACGAAATTGGCCCCGAACCAAGCCGACCCCTTTACGGAAAAGGGGCGCTCGGTCCTGCGGCGCTTTAAGTTAGAAGACAGGCGGGAGAAAACGATTCCCTCCCACACCCCCTGACACATGTACACCCAGTTTTCCCAGAGATTGGAAGGGGGTGTTAGCACCAGACCCAGAATGTCGCTGTCTTTGAAAGCAACGAAAATGTGAAAACCAGAACAGGGAGCCGAAAGGCGCCCCAGGCACCCGGCTCATCTCCAGCTGGACCGAAGTAGGGTCGAGGTGGAGAGGTGGGGAGACAGAAGGATCTGATTCCCTGTCGGGCGTTGAGACTGAAACTATCCGGCTTCTGGGATGGGCAGCCCTGAAAAGGCGGTGTAGGGGTCGAGGTGAGACCCACAACGCTCCACTATGGGGTCATTTACTAGAGGTCTGGGGCCAGAAACGGCTATACCACCAGATGTTTCCAGTGTCTTCGCGGATTTTCTCCGGCTTCAGGGCCCACGGATGGGACAGGCTGCGGGGCGGAATTCGCAGATAATCACGATAGGAGTGAAGGAGTATGGATTTGCCTCGCCGTTGGCGGGTTGTGTCTATATGGGGAAATAAGAGGATTATTGTATTTGGGGGAGTGGACAGAGCCTCCCGGGATAAATACGGTTATAAGTGACCAGGGGCTAGTGAATTCGCCCCACTTCTTACTAGAGTCCCTAGTAATCAACGTTGGGAGGGACAAGGGGGCGGAGTAAGTGAAGTTCGAAGGCAGTGGAACCGAGGGGATAAATGATATAATCTGCCAGCCCTAGGTTTCCGCTCCCGGGCACCCAAAGCGGGGGTGGGAATGGGCGGTCCAGGCGGGCAGGGGGCTCAGCCCGCCGTCTGCCTGTAGTTGCCGTTAATCTCCTGGGCGATGTTGACTGCCTCCGCACCCAGCGGCAGCCGATCACTGTACTCAGAGCCCGCCTCGAACTCCTCTTGGTTGGCCTTGGACTGGGACTCCACCAGTGAGCATGCCGCCAGGCTCTCCTCCCTCTGCAGGTCCCCACTTGGGTCTCCCTGCTCCGCGTCTTCATCAAGGCTCTCCCCCGGCGCCTCCTCAGGCTCCTCACCACCCGCCTCGCCGCCTGCTGGGTAGCTTTTCTCGGACTCAAGGTAGGAGGCCCGCGGGTCGAAGTCCGCAGCTATGCGCTTCTCCATAGGGTCAGGGACCTGTGGCCTCAAGATTAGACGGTAGGGCTTGCCGGGGTGTTTGGCCAGCAGATGGCAGCAGGCGGCGCCCAGCAGGGGCACGGTGGCCAGCACCAGGAGAAATACACTCACCGCCACGATGACTAGCAGCGAGGGCAGCTCCTTTTTGGTGGCGAACACCACTTGCACATGGCAGGCCTCCCCTGCCAGTGCCAGGCACACTGAGTAGTTGGTGCCAGGCCTCAGGCCGCGGAACCAGTAAGCATTAACGCCTTCCTCCACGCGGGACCACTGCACTGCCGCGCCGCCCCCAGCTGGACACAGATAGAGCAGGCGCAGAGGCCTCCGCCCAGGCCGCCCGGCTCCCGCAGCCCCGCCGGGCCCAGGACCCCAGCGCGCTGCCAGAGGCGTCAGCTGCACCCGCGCCTCACGCTCCGACACATCCAGTGCGATGACGCCCAGCTCGAAGACGTGCGGTTTGAGTTCTGAGCTTTGATTGAACGCGTGGTTAGACACGTACCGAGAGGGGTCCCCGTGGCCGCAGTGCTGCTCCTCGGCCGGGTCCACAGGAATCTGGTCTTCCGCTTCCTCTCCTACACCAATCTCCTCCTCCAGCTGTGCCTCTGTCTCACCCGGGACGCTGACCCGAGCCAGGCCTTGGCCTTTGGTTTTGCCCTCAGGCTTGGAGGGCAGGACGCTGTTTCCCCGGCCTTTGTTTGTGGACTTGCGCTCGGAGGTCGGGCCTTGCCCATCAGATTCTCCCCCCACGCCAGGAGCGTGCTTAGGGGGCCCTGCTGCAGCTACTGCCACACGTACTGATGTCGAGTTGACACCCAGCTCATTGTGTGCACGGCATGTGTAGACGCCTGCCTCCTTGGCACTCAAGACAGGCACCAACAGGGAGCCGTTTGCTAGGGCCAGGAAGCGCGGGGTGGCTGGGGGCGCTGGCCATGCGGGTGCCGGTACTGAGGTTGGAGCCTCGGTCTGCGTCGGCGTGTCCACATCTCCTTCCCCTTGCCCTTCCTCTGCCAAGTCCCCGTCGTCCTCCCTGCTCAGAACGGGCGGCTCTAAGACAACTGTGCCACCTGGGATCTGAAGTTGCCATTGCAGGCGGGGCGTGGGGTGGCCTTCAGCTATGCAGTGCAACAGGAACACTATGCCAGGGCGCAGCGGGGTGCCAGGCTCCTCAGACTGTGGCTCTGCACTAAGACGCACGCTAGGTGGTGCGCAAGGCAGGGCGGGCAGGCGGTGCACCGGCACCCCCTGCAGAGCCGGAGGCGAGGCACAAGCAATGGAGTCAGGCTCGGGCAAGGAGACACGAGTGCTCGCGGCCCAGGCTTGCAGCCACACGAGGCCGCAGCCACAGTGAAAGGGATTGTGATACAGTTGCAGGTGTGACAGAGCGCTTAGTGCGTCGAAGGTGCCAGGTTCCAGAGTACGCAGCCGGTTGTTGTTTATGCGCAGAGACCGCAGGTCCGGCAGTGCGCCGAGGGCTTCCCGGGGTAGAGAACCCAAGCGATTGTGGTTCATTTTGAGCAGTTGCAGCGCGCTCAGGTTACGCAGGTCGCTCCAAGGGAAGCTGGATATGAGGTTGTGGCTCAGGTCGAGGTTCTTGAGCTGGCTCAGCACAGCCAGTGCACCCTGCTCCACAGTGCGCACCTCATTGTGCGCCAACCACAGCGATGTGACTTGCGTGACGTTGGCGAAGGCCCCGCGCCTTAGCACAGTGATCTTGTTGGCCGAGAGACTAAGCGTGGTCACATTGGCTGGCAGTCCTTCAGGAACCTCGCGCAGCTCTTTGTAGGCACAGTCAGCAAACTGATGAGCGTACTTGTCTACACAGGCGCACGGCTCTGGGCACGCTCCAGCCACTCCTACGAGTGCCCAGGCCAACCAAAGGGCTCGAAGGGGCGCCATCATGGTTCCTGCAAATAGAAGCCAGGCGAAAAATGAGAAGGTCACTTATTGAATTCAGGTTCTTTCCCCTTACAAGCTCTGTCTCTGCAAACCTGTCTAGCCTAGACTCCACGGCTCCATTACCTCCTCTACATCCAGGAACTTCTCTTGGGCACGAGAAGAGCTCCCCCTCCGGACCCTGACTTCCTTTTTCTAGGGTGTGGACCATGCTCTTGTCTTCCCTACTCTCATTCTTGAGCTAGCCCTCCAAAGGCTCTGCTGCTTGCCATTTGCAGTGAGCTCTGCATTGACCCTCTGAGTGTTTCTAAGTCTTCATTTAACCCGGTAAACTGAATACACCGAAAGGCTATTTTTGCCAGTCCTTTCTGGAACCCTTTGTCCCATGAATAGCATGTCACACACGCCCATACAGGCACACAACATACAAACAGAAATTCAGGCATCACCATCCAGCCACCAACTAGAGGACCTGATGTTCTATCAGAAGGTTCACAATGCATTTCATAGACACAAACACATAGACACCCAGACACCTACACAATGTACCCTGGAGACCTCATTGTTCTGTCAACTGAAACCATCATTTGTACAGTATTTTCACTACTGTGCAGTGTCTTCCTGTTTGTTGTGAGAACTGACAGCCACAAGGACACTAGTCCTCATACAAACTGACCCATAGGGACACAGGCCCATACTTTCATGTGCGCTAAGCCCTCCTCTGAGACCGAAACCTGAGCAGGCAATACCCCAGAACTTGCTGCAGAGTGGCTTGAGGCATGGGATCTGGGGAGTCCCTAACCACTGCATAACCTTCTCCATCCTAGGAGATGTCCTCCTCCCCTGGGCTATAGCATCCCCGTCCCCATCCCCATCCAGGGTGGTTGGTCACCCCTCGGTCTGGAAAAGGAAACCCTCCCCCATGTCTGGCCAGATACTTGTAGTAGGGACAGCCAAAGCTTCCCCCTTGGGCCCCACAGACTCCAGATGCTTCCAGGGGTAGAGAGATCCCCGGCCCATAGGTCTGGGAGGTAGTCTCTACTGGCAAATAAAGCTGCAGAAGGTTTAAAATTCTGTGCCTTTCTCTCTATAGCCCCAAGATGCCCTAGGGACCCCCATAAAACCTCATCTCCAGTCTCACAAACACATTTACATAGACTCCCTGCCACCCCTCCCTTGGGGCACCTGTCAGGTTTGTCGGAGCCCCTCCCACACTGTGTCTTCCTTCGGAATCCCGCATCTTAGTGCTCCTAGGGGAGGACCCCTCCCTTCCTTATCCTCCCAGAAGGTGATGCTGGGGTCCAGTACTCTAGACTGGACCTGCCCCCACCTGGGTTGAGGTTGTGGGGTGGTCCTTACTACTTACCGGCTGCTCGATGACTCCCGGTATGCAGCCTTCCAGTCTCGGTTTGGCAGAGCTGGGGTGACAGCCCTGGAGAGCTTCCTGCATCTGTTGCTGCGGCTTGTGGGCAAAACGAGGGAGGGACAGAGAAAGGGACAGGTAAGTTTGAGGATTCCCTTGGCCTTAAAGTCCCACTTCAGTTTTTCCTTTCGTGTCTGTTGCCCTTCTTCTCTCTAGCTGCAGGTTGGAGAGAGTACTTGCGCGCCCCGCGGCTTGGCGGGAACGCGCATAGCCTCTCCCACCTCCTGCATGCTCTACTTTTGTTAAAGCCATAAAGACCCTCCCCAAGGCAGAGATACGTCGGTCACAAAGGGCACCACACACCCACCGCCCTAGGCTTGGCCCTTCCCAGCCCTCTGTACCCCCTTCCCCCTATTCCCCTACATTTATGAGCCATTGACATTGTCCCTGTCCCTTATCTCACTGCCCGCAAAATATATTCACTAACACACACACACACACACACACACACACACTCCACACAATCGACCTTCACATGTTAGAATTATCCATTATCATGTAATAATCGCGTGTTGGCTCTCACAACGTTCACACACATTTTCACAAGAACACCTTCACCCTGGACACTCACGCCTCTCCCTGTTTCGCACACACACACATTCACGCGCACTCACCCTCGCGCGCCTGTCCCGCCAGCGCCCGTGAGCTTTGCTGATAATTGAATGCGAGCCGTTTTTACGCCCCGCAACACGTGAGACAAACCATCTTTGAGGAATTTGGGGGAAGGAGTCGCTCCCGATTGTAGTGGGGGCGTGTCTTTGCCTTTAAACACTTTTGCAAATGCAGGCAGTGGCGCAGAAAGACCTCCAGCGGGACCGACAGAGCTGCGCTCAGCCTGGCTGGCGCGGACCCTTCTCTCCCGCACCCCCCTGTTAGCTGCCTCCTCCCCGAAGCCACGTTCAACACGATGCATAATTGATAGTGTTAGCAGAGCGCCTCACCCTCCCTGCCATTTTTGCCTGGATCTGGGCAGATTCAAGCCCTGGTCTCCCCCGCCCCCTGCCAGTCTGCCCCGCCAGTCGAGAACGCGCAGTGATGCTGGGAGCGTGGGGAAGAGACACCCACCTCCCCAACCCTCTGCCGCCACTATCCAGCCTCTTAAGCCGGAACTCTTTACGTATGGTCTTTTGTAGTAAAGCCAGCGCTAGTAGCCCACCGCCCAGCACGCCAGCTTGTGCTCACCGCGGGGTGGGGTGGGGCGCGCAGGTATTTGCCCGCTCTCTCCCTGGAGGCTAGCTTGAGCGCACCCAAGTACCTCGCTCTCAGGTATTGCCAGATCCAGGCGAATGAGGCACTGACGTTGTAACGACGATGGCAGCAACAGGGATGGTTACAAAACGTCTGCTCCTCTTGAGCACTGGGGGCTGGGGACATAAGACCCGAACGTCCGCCCACCCCCGGTATCTTCACAGCTTTTCAAGCAAACATACAGTCAACCCCCGCTCTCCACAAGCTATGCCCCAAAGCCGTCTCACACCCTCACACAACAGCTGGCCTCAGCAGACTCGCGGACTCGCTGTTCCCTACTCTCCCTATCTCTGGCGAAACCCCGACATTTCTTTTAGCGACAAGGAGGAGGAGGCGCAGGGATGTCGAGGCATTTGGCTAAAATCCGTTTCCACCCCGTGTTGCCTACAGCAGCCTAGGAGACTGAGCTGCTGGTCTGAAAAGGGGTACAGGTCCTGGGAGACCGGCGGAGCCCCCGCCCCCAGCCCTTCATGTAGACACTGAGCTCTTGGGGCGCATTTGGCCCCCCAGTCTTCACCCAGGGTAGCGGTCTGTCTTGATGGGTCGATGGCGCATGTTTGGGGCCTCTGCGGAGATCAATACCCCGATTTGAGTGTTAAGCATTTTAATGAGCTGGGGAGGAGGTGGGGGAGAGAGACCGGCAAAGAGCGCTGCATCTAAAGAGACCACCCGGCCTGGGTTATGAGGCTTCTTTGTAAATTAAATATGAACAGACTGGTGCACGCACACTCCGATTCCCCTCCCTCTCTCCTACTACTGTGGTCGCTAGAGGCGGCCCAGCGAGCTGGAACCAGCGCAAGTTGCTCAATCAAGTCATGTTCGGAACCCAGAACTTCACCACGACATCTGTCCAGGCGTGGGGTCCCCACAGGCGACACAGGAGGAGGGAGCTGGGGCGCCCTTCGAGGGAAGGCGTCTTCGAGAAGGGCCGAGGGTGAGACCACTATGACCCGTCCCCACCGGGGACCCTGCAGTGGGACAGCCAGGAGGGTTCCTAAAGCAGGAATGAGCCCCTGCAGTTTGGGCCGAGAGTGGCACGTGGCGCGGCCGACAGGTCTGGCAGACTTCTTTGTCTGCAGCGCAAGGAGGGCGTCCAGGTTGCGTCGCCAGAGTCTTGGAAACCTTGGGGGAACGGTCCTGGGAGTATTGCCCAGAGAAGAGGGATTCAAGGGGAATAGGGCCCAGCAGCGGGACTAAAAGGATCTGGTGCCAGATGGCGGGTCCTGGGGACTTTTTGGGAAGGAGGGAGGCGTGGAGGCAAGAGGGAGGCTCTGGGGTGGAGGCCTCTCGCTAGTAGACTGCCCCACCCCCGCGCCAGCTTTCACCTCTATTCTGGTTCTTTTCGCTTTCGGCGAAGCAAGCAGGCCAAGAGACAACTTAGATGGAGCGAGACACAGGAAGAAAAAAATATAGGGAGTGAGTGGGAACTCCTTAGCTCTCTACCCAAAGATCCCTGGATCGCTGAGACCCACCCCGCCAGCGTCCGGGAAACCTCTCGGGGTCTGCGAGCCGGGAAAGACCCCCGTTTCCTTGCTCTCTTGCCAGGGAGGCAGAAGCCGGGGCGTTCTGTGGGGAGGCATTACTTCGGGCGCAGCGGCTACCCTCGGCCCAGGTGCTAATTCCCGCAGCCCCAGCAGCTTTGGCCAACTCTCCTGCAAGAGCTTTTGTTCCCGAATCCTGCTTTGAGCGAAAGACACCCCTTACCCCTGCGTTTTATCTGGAGAGCCCAGCGCCTGTCCCGGCAGGGCTGGAACCCGAGTCGCCCCTGGCAGAGTCCACTTGGGCCTGGGATGGGAGCCACAACTCCGGATTCAACCTCCGAGTTCAGCGAGAAGACTACGCGCATCTCGCCCTGCGCCGCTCTGCGCGCAGGAGCAGATCTAGTGCTTATAATGTTAATAACTATACAGTTACTGAAAGACCAGGGAACCGAGCGAAGATACCACCCCCGCCGCCGCCTACGTCTTTGATCGTTAAAGAAACAGGCACCTAATCAGGTGCATGGAAGCAGGGACAGGGGAGATGAGGGATACAAAGTTCCAAGTCGCGGAAGCGGAGGGCCCCAAATTCAGTGTCTGTCAAGACTGAGCTTGAGCTTTTTACCAGAATGAGGTCCTAACCACAGACAGATTTCGGGGCGGAAATCTGGAGCTCCGAGTCCCTTTCTGCGGATTGACCTCCAATTTCAACCTTGAGGGCAGGGGATCGTCGCAAGGGTGGAAGGGTGGTGGGCTAAAATCCGCAGGATCCGGGAACTTGCTCCAGGGGCCTGTGCTCCACGGACCCAGTACTGGTCCTCGCGCGCCCCCTCCTGGACACCTTCTGGAGGGCA